TTCAGAGCACTGTCGGATATGTCAAATTCCTTGAGAACAGCCCGGCTTCATACAACTCAGCCATCGTCGAAATGCTACTGAATCTCGGTGCTGTGCTCTATGTCAAGACGAATATCCCACAGACGATGATGGTCGGTTACCACCATTTTCTCTTCACTATCTTCTCGATACTGACAGGATTTTAGACAGGGGACTCAGAAAACAACATCTTCGGTCGAGCCCTGAACCCCCACAACACCAACTTGACTGCCGGCGGCTCAAGCGGAGGCGAAGGAGCTCTAGTAGCATTCCGCGGTTCAATCCTAGGAATCGGTACAGACATTGCAGGGTCGATTCGCATCCCCTCCCTCTGCTGCGGTGTGTACGGCTTCAAACCTAGCATTGACCGCATCCCATGGGGCGGTCAAGTAGCCGATATAGCCATGGAAGGGACTCCCGGTCTGAAGCCGTCCGCTGGACCACTTGCGCATAACCTGAACGACATCGAATTATTCATGTCGACCATTATAAACGCCGGTCCCTGGAAATATGACAGCACCGCAAGCGCAGCACCCTGGTCATACCCAAAAGCCTCAGCAGATGAACCTAGTCAACTTACCATCGGCATCCTCCCTGAGAGTAAGGACTTTCCCCTGCATCCACCCGTCAAGAGAGCGCTGCAGACCGCCATATCCGCTCTGAAAACCAAGGGCCATCGTATTATGTATCTCTCAGAAACCCCCGGCATTGACTTCGCATATGCGAACCGTCTCGCCTTCCAATATTTCATCTACGGCCCACACACCGACCACATCGCAGCCAGCGGCGAACCACCCGTGACATCCGTGGCAAAGATGTCCTCACCCATGTTCACGGGTCCCTTTCCAGTAGACATGGAACTACCACCTTTCGAGAAGATAGACGCATTGCACAAGGCGCGCAAAGCATATGCCGAGGCCTGGAGGAAGACATGGGTTGAGAACAATCTAGATGTCCTTCTTGCGCCCGGGGCGCAGAATACGGCTGTTCCACATGATTCATTTGGATGGCCACCGTATACCGTGGTTTGGAACTTGCTTGATGTGAGTGTACCCATATACTACCTCTTAGACAGTTCGGGGGACTGTGTGACTAATGAAAGTGCAGTACCCTGCTTGCATTATTCCATATGGCAAATCTTCGAAGGAGCATGATTCTGAGCCGATGGCTATTACTGATGGGGTTCAGCCTAGTTGTGAGTTACATATCTAGAGATAATGGTTCTAGCTAATTGTTGATGTCTAGATGACCCGGATGCAGTTGATGAGGCGCCATGTGCGATCCAGGTTATTGCACCTCGGTTTCAGGATGAGAAGTGTCTTTCAGCTGCGAGAGTTATTGATGGGGATATTCGATGATGGAGCTAGCATATTGTCCTATAGTATATTAGATCCTTTTGTTGACTTTCTATTCCTACTCCAAGAACGTTTTTAGGTTACATTATGTCCATGTGCCAACAGGTTGACCCAAGATCTATCGCATCTAGTCGGCCAGCCGACAGAGACATGACTAAAGATATTACTACTACCTATGATCAAGTACAGTGACTGCGAATAATAATCTACTTTTATTTCTATTCAAACAAATAATCTCTATCACTCTATAAAAAACCCTGCAAGTCTAAAGCATATATCTAAATGTAGGTGACTTATCCCCCATCTCACCAAGTTCCTGTGCCGAATATTCCGGTCGCAGCTCCACCAATTTATCCACACGCTGTCGGTTGATGCGCACATATGCAAATCTCGTAATCACGATAGCCACCACGCCCATGATTCCAAAGGCAAGTTCCAGTGCATGACCCATGATGTATTGCGGGGAGTCGCGCGTGCGATAAAAATGGGAAGCCATGGCTAATAATTATTAGCACGTTCCTCCTAAACATCTTCATGAATCGGAAAGCGGGTAGATACCTCCTGCAAAGTTCCCAATGCCAATGTGTATTGCCATTCCTGCTGCTCGTTTATGTTCCGCGGCGAGATTGCTACTTAGCCATGTTATGAGGGCAGGAATAGCGGGGTAAATTCCTTTTGCACATTAGAACAGTCGACAATATGTGTGGAATCATATGGCGACATACCTAAAATTGCAAGGAACACCCCAAAGTATACAAGTCCCGGAACCCATCTTTGCGATCCTGCCAGACAGACGAAAAATCCGGCGACGATGCAACCGATGTGGAAGAGGAGAAGCGGTGAGCGCTCGCCATTGCGGTCAGCGAAATATGCTGCTAGGATGGCAGCCATGGAAGCAATGATGTACGGGGGTACCTAATCAGTCAGTCATGATACACGTTGCGGTTGTTAATGTCCAGGGCCATTTACTGTGAGAAGCTGCGCAGTAGAAGATGTATATCCTAGATCGCGGATTATGGTGGGTAGGAAGAATGAAATCCCGTATAGCGGACAGACGGCGGAGAAGTATACTGGAGACCATTAGCAGAGACCTCACCGACCTGATGGAAGAGCATACTAAGAATGGCCATATAGACCTGCCAATCCTTGGCCGCATCCCACACATACTTCCACTTGAAGTCACCAGCCTCAGGGACCACATTGCCATTATTGGAGAATTGCAGACTCAGACGGCGCAGAATCCAAGCTCGTTCGTCTCGGGTCAGGAAGGATGCCGTATCAGGGTAATCGTAGAGAAAGAAGTATGACATGACAGCCACGACAACTGTTGCGAGCCCTTCGATAATGAATATCCAGCGCCAGCCGGAGTACCCGCCAACACCGTTCATTTTCTGACTTGTTAGAATTGCACAGCAGATAAAGTTCTATAACTTACACCGATCGCAAATGCAAGTAACCCCGAAAAGGCACCTGCAATACTCGCCGCGCTGAAGCATAAGGCTTGGCGGAACTGAGCTTCATGACGAGAGTACCACTTCGTGATATAATAGGCCACCCCGGGGTAAATGCCCGCTTCTTCAAGATGTTAGGATAGATCATTTCTTGTGGTTGGTGGAGAGCATACCTGTGGCACCGAGGAATATCCTCGCTATCAGAAGACCGTGGTAGTTGGTCACGATACCCATTAGAGTCTACGGACAATTAGAGTCGTACTAGCTCGGCGAACGGGAACGAACCATCACCGTCCCCCACGCCACCATCAGTGACGGTATCCATATTGAGGGCCTGACTTTCTGCAAGATAAGGTTCGATGGTAGCTCAAACACGGTGTATGTGAAAAAGAAGACAGTCACTAAACAATCAGAAAATTATCAACAATATGGTCGGCTCTACCTACGTGCCCAGTTGTACTGTGTGCCTCCGAGATGCAGATCTTCCTCCATGCCTTCAATTCTGGCGTTTCCGATATTACCCCGATCGAGGAATGAGAATAGGTATAGGAGGGTTAGCATCGGCATGAGACGGAGGTCCATCTTGCGCAGGAGCTTTCGCTCGTCGATGTGGTCGAGATTACCCTCGACATGATTGATGTCGCGGCATACTGTTTGGATTCCATTGCGTCGCTTAGACTGTTTCTCGGTCCTCATGTCGAGGTCGGACAACTGAGCTGCTTGCCTTGTGAAGCCACGGAGGATCCTTGATGGCTTTGAGCCGTTGAAGGTCTCATGGGACAGCCCATGAGTTTTGATTGATGCAGGTCTATTTAGTGTGGCTGAGGAACTATGTAAGGGGCTAGGGAATGTGGGCGAGAAGATCATTATTCCATTCGTTCCTCACAGAAAACTTCCAGCGATAGGCTAATTCTTCAACGGGAATCACTTTTGCATTGGATATTTCGTATGCATGGGTCCGTTCCCGCCATCCTAAATGCTAAGAGTAGATCATATGCCCAAGGCAAAGGCAGCAATAATGCATGGGTGCGTATGGTCATCATTTAGAAGTGAGACAAGTTACGTCTCCTTTGGTATCTCAGAAGGCAAATAGAGTGTTGTGATCTGCGAGCAATGTTTGCTAATCAGCGATCTTCCCAACGAGAGTTAAATGCATCTCTGCAATGAAAAAGAGCGCATTCCCGTTATGATCCGAAGTTTAGCATCTGATGTACTTCAGTGCCTGTGAGACTTCATCGGTTCAACACTGATTATTGTCCATGTGCCAATGGGCAGTGCTCAATTATTAGTGGGCACCTTGTGCTTAGAGACTGATCGGCGTTCATTAGCGTTGCCTAGTATGGGCAGGAATTGATGACATATGAGAAATCCAGTCCCGATCAGTAGGGTAAGACAATGATCGTCCTTGCATCAAACCTTGCATACACTGATCGGGAGTGTCAAATGAGACCATTAGGGGCTGGGTGGCTGGCTATGGTCATTTCACCCTTGACGTGAGTAGGTAAAATGAGCACATCGTACTCCCAGGTGTTGTGATCGCCTTACTCTTTCAGAAATGGTGGGAGTTGGGATACTGGGGGCTCCCATCATGCAAGTCTTTATTGGAAGCAGACGATGGAGTCTGTGATGATGACAGACAGTTAGAGGCAAGCATCGATCGCATCGACGTGAGTCTATAGATGAGTGAGCATTTTTAGTCGTGCTCGTGACTCATGGTTAGGTCCTATTTCAGTACAAGTCTTGATACATATGTTCCAACGGATGGCGTAAGGTCCACTTCATGAAACGTACTATTCTATCCGTCATGTTGACGGCATTATAAAAATACATCCATGATGTCTGGATAATCAAGGGAGAAAGACTGGCGAGAGTGGAATAGTACAGTTGATGATTAACCTGGAGACGGCTTTTGTGTCATCCTGTCATCTCCCAGTCAAGAAGCGCATTATGGGCCGTGCCCCCGAATCACTGACCGCCAGTTCGTGATGGAAAGGCGATAAGATAGCAAGCCCCACCGCGGACCGAATCCCAATGCGCTGGGATTTGGATTTTGTTCGATCCAGACCCCTCCTCTTTGTCTGTTTTGCCACCATTCCACAACCAATCGAATTTCTGACCAGAAATCATGACGAGTTGCTAAAACCCGCTTCGTTCAAGCTTCAATCCACCAGAGGCCATGTCTGCGCGGAAGGTCCCTCCGCCCAGCCAGCCCACCAGTCTTGGCCCACCAGAGGCCGCGATTGCCGGGCGAACCGCCGGGAAGGTTCTGATTCCCCGGGATCGATCGAGGATCGTGGCTAGCCCGCAGATACGTACTTCTCGTGCTTGTGATCTTTGTCGGCAGCGTAAGGCCAAATGCAATGGGGCAAAACCGACATGTACCCAGTGCGAGAAGTTCGGGACCGAATGCAGGTACTCAGAGCAAAAGCGGACCCAGGAGAAAAGAGAACTTGACATGTTGCGGGCAGCTATCAAGCGGCACGAGCGGATGCTGCAACTTCTGTCGCTTCGCCCGTCCGGCGCTGCAGTTTCCACCAGTAGAGAGGATCCATATGTGAGCTTCATTATCATACCACTGATCCCTGTCACTGACGACCAGCTACTAATCCAGTCATGTAGGTTGTGGGTTTGCCGCAAACAGAAGGGCTAGCTACCCAGCAAACGCTGTCTGGTAGCCTGGACCGCACGATGGAACTTCTGCAAAAACAACTCCGTGAGCTGCATTATGTGTATCAAAATGTCCACGATTGTGACCCCACAATTCTTCCGGCTGTGGTGGACACGATCCGCAGGAGTTCCTCGGTGCACGAGGCAGCCAGTCTACTAAGTCAACAGATGTCATCTCAATCCCCGGGAATAACCCTGGAGAGGATGCAGAGGTCGTGGCTGACACGCCTATCGGGGAAACCAGAGCTGGTGAACCGAACACCCCCATACAGCGTGAATGCTGCAGAACGCTGGACGGATATTGTTGATAACGCGGCCACTTCGCATCTCTTTTCTTTCTTCTTCGTTTGGGATAACCCAACATGGCATATCGTTGACCCGGTGTCATTCTTGGGTGATTTCCAGCGTGGAGGGACACACTTCTGCTCGTCACTCTTAGTCCATACTATTCTTTTTTATGCGTGTGTACGTATCTCATTCTCTTTATGACTTCGCTGACGGACTAGCACCTTTCATACGACTTTGAAAAGCCATGGGACCGGCGCATGGAGATGTCTACCGCCAGACGACTTCTGCGGGAAGTGGAACGCCTGTGGCAATGCGATAAGATGAACATCTCTCTTCCCACCATGCAGGCAGCCCTTCTATTAGGGATATTCTTCTGTGCTTCTGGTAAAGACAAGATCGGTGTTCAGTATATCCGGTATGGCGCACAGATGGGGTTGCAGCTGGGCTTGCATACCTCGTCGCCTGAGACAGGCCAAACCAATCCAGCAGAGGCAGCTCGCATTAGGCGAGCTCACAAACTCATAGCTAGTGCGGTCTATGAGGTGCAAACGTAAGTCACTAAAGAATCGATATGCAAAGCAGTCACTAATTCAATAGTCTGTCTTTGCAATTGGCAAGGATACCGTCAGTATGGCCGGGGCCGTCAGAGCTTTTCTTATCTAAAGAAGAGGCAACGGCGGCGGATGTCAATCAACAGTGGTCACCATACCCATTCACCTATCCTGTTTACAAGCCCTTCTTCCATACGGGCCTATGGAGCAGACGGGACCTATTTGTTATTATTAATGATGTGGGGGATTTGCAGCGGCAGCTCAGTGGACAAATAGATCTGTCTGGATGGCAGCAGGGTGCTGTACTGTATCAGAGACTTATAAGTCTCGAGAGGAATCTTCCTGCTGTCCTTCGGGTACAGCGGAATAGGACTCCCCACAATCTGTGTTTTCAGTGAGTGGTCCGAACGCAGTCACGGCTCTATGCTAACAAAAGAAGCATGTATTACCACATCACAACAGTCAACCTCTGCGGGATTTTCGTGACCCGTAGTAGCACCGGACTGACAGAAGAGCTGATACGATCCACTAAATTTGATCCACAGAGAATACTAGGCGAAGCGATGGACTCGATTGCGACATTAATATTGCTCTATCGGGTGTCCCATGGCTGGAAATCCATCCCAGTAATGATGGTTCACTACTTTATGGTGGCAGGTGTACACGCAGCCTCGCACTTGGAGTCGTCAAAGTGGCGCGAAGTGTTGGTCAGCTGTGTCTCTGGTCTCTGGCATATGGGCCTGGTTTGGAGGATTTGTCGACCATTCTTGCGGACCATCCAACTAGTACTCCAAAGCAAGGACGAGACCTTAATCCCCATCGAAGCAGTGTCAATATTGAAGGAATTCAACGAGAGGGTGTGGAATCAGAACGAGGTAAAAGCGCTGGCCGCCAACTACGTGGTGCAACACCATCCCAGTCAGACACTTGCGCTGGACCACGACAAAAACTTCCAGGGAAAAGGCCTCGAGAGCTTGATACGAGACTTCGAAAAACTGAGCACGGATGATTAAGACGAGGAAGGATGAACAGAGTGGGGGAATGAGAAGCGGAGGAAAAGTACCGGTCTGTATACGGATGACTGTAAAATAATGTTTGTTTATGTTTGACGATACGATGCAGTACACGAGCTATGAGAATATACGACTCAGGCAGCAATATACCATGTGACCTTTCACTTTCATAAATTTGACTTGTGCGCTTTCAGTCTAAAATGGTCTATTTGAGTCCAGCTCTTTCATGTCACTACAACACAGCCATCTCATATATACAAGTAGTTATATGATGTACATCCTCCACCATATCCACCAAACAGCCGTCACTACGAAACCTCAATCAATTCATCCCCTACCCTCCTCGTCCACTCCATCCAGCTACCATCATACACCCTTCTGGATCCCTTCGCCCCAACCAACCTCAAAGCTAGATCTAGTGATGCAGCCGTAACCCCCGAATTGCACGTCAGAATATACGGCACTCCCTCATCTTCCTCCGCCAACGCGCCCGCATCCATCAAGACACCCCTCAGTTTCTCAGGTGCTAGTATCATCCCAGTCTCATCTTCCAATAGACTAGCCAATGGCACATTGACCGCTCCAGGAATGTGCCCGGACCTCAAACTTGGATTCATTTCCGGCTGTACACCTTGAAACCGACCTGGTATCCTCGCATCGACAATCCTCACCTTCTCCTGGTCCCTCCTAAAAATAACGTCTCTTACCTCCTCAAACGATGTTACCCTCCCAGTATCGAAATCCCTCTCTTCCACGACATACTCATCACCTTGTTCTCCTCTAGTTCCCATTACTGGAATCTCTATCCCCTCAGGCCCGGAACCTACGGGCAGCTGCATCCGCACATACTGCCTGAAGTTATTCAAGACGTGAACATCCTTATGCCCAAATAGCTCACACATAAACGCCAGTCGCGGGGCATGGTACGTGCCTATCTCGTCTGCATCGTAGATCACTAGAATATCATCCTTGCGAATACCGAGGGTAGTCATTGCAGCAGCAAAGAGGGAAGGTGAGGGAAGCATGAAAGGGTATGGAGAGGTGGTGTCGCGAATTAGATCGAGGTTGAAGAACCTGATTGGCAATACATATCTATCAGTATGTGGTGGCGGGGTATATAAGGAGCGGGGAGATGGAGTACTTTGAGCCTGGAAGGTGGAAGGATTCGAAGGACGAGTGGAGCGTGGGACGGTAGGCTGCTAAGGGGACAATCCGCCTATGCTTGGTGTCCTTGCATACTGCCGCATTGTGATAGTATTCGGCTGGAGTTATGAGAGGAGATTGGAAGGGGTTCATTGTTGAAACTCCGATAGTTGTAGGTGGTGATGGATGAGGGGAGACATGAGGGGGATTGCCGTTATCGGGATATCAACTTGGGCATTGGTTATGCAGTTGTGCGTATTTGTCAGCTATGCACTAAGGTACCGACTCCGCCCCTTCCGGTCGGGATAGCAAAAGAAAGAGTGCGAGGTATGAGCTTATGAGGCAATACTACAATATACTACCAGTGTATTGACTTATATTTGAAACAAAGGTGCTGACAGGAGTAATTTCAGTGAGACAAATCAAATTGTAATAGCACCAGGTTTCCCTTGTTTTACGACACCAACGACCTGAGCACTTGACCTATACGTAGTACTAAGTAGTACGAATATCACACGGATATATATTTTTGAAAACGAAGACGGACGACTCGATCATACGGCTAAGTATCATTACTATCGTACTTGCTGCAAAAGCAACCAGTTAAATATCATATCTGTTTACTTAATGAAGAAGAAAGAATTGGAGAAAAATAAACTTGAGAGCAAAAAGTTGAATGTGATGCGAGGTGGGTAAAAAGAAGGGAAAAGAGAAAGGTCGTGCCCGGGATCGAACCGGGGTTGCCGGAAATCTGGTAAGATTCAAAATCCGGAGTGATAACCCCTACACTACACAACCAGGTGCTTGTGAAAAGTTGAATTTGCTGATGGTATATAAGTGTCATTAGTTTGCGAAGCGAATTGTAACTGCCCTGGAATTCACCAAAACAATTATCCACACCAGCTGTGATGAGCAACCACATCTACGTACTATATCCACAAGGCTATGCCCATGCTTAGAGAAAATCTTTGCTCTGCCAAGACAACATTTAATTATTTCTCGTCGACATTCCGGAAAGCTCAATACCTCCAGGTGCCCTCTAAACTGATGATCTCTCCAAAAATTACACCGAAAAGGCACATAAAATTGTGGTGGTTATGGCTTTGATCCTGGATAGGCTCTATGTGGACTAATAATGAATGTATTTGGTTGTGCCTGGAAAAAACACTCCGATGACGGCATTCCTTCGGGCCCAACAGCACAGCTGAGAGCGGCAATCCTTGACTGTTCGGGATAGGCAGCCAGCGCCGTCGATTCGCGCAATCTTGGGGCCAGATGGTGGGTTAACCTCACACATGACGGAAATCTAGCTTAATTGAGTCGCTTGGTTATGCAGAAGAATGCACTCCCCGTAATATTGTTCTATTCAAGCCCGTTTACCTTGCATTTGAGTGTATCTTGGATGTTTGTTTACCTGGGTAAGATGCCCTTAAGGCTATTGTGCCTGGTCCCTGGAGTATCCACATCCAGCCGCACTCCACTCACGCCAACAAATGGCCCTAAACCGCCCGGTCGATGGCTTTAATGACGTATTTACCAGGATTAAGCAGCCCCCATTCTACCAGTACAGTCAGCTCCACTGTCCTTGAGCCACAACAATCTGCATCATACGGTGTTTAACTTGCATAAAGCCGAGGACCCGGCCTAGAAGCTAGTGATGTAATCATGCACATCCAGGATCTGAATGAACTCGCAGCAGGCGGATATATCTTACCGTGGATTCCCTCCTAGTGACGATGTTCATATCAATCCAACACCTGTCATTACCATTCAGGCCCAATTGACAGTTGCAGCCCGGGGGCTTCATACCGGTCTTTAATCATGAGGTTCCTTACAAGTCTCGTCGTTGCCACTTTATCCAGCACAACGGCATCCTACCAGTTCAATCCTCTCCACCATCTTGCCGGTATCGCTCCTTACTTCAGCTCTCATGATCCCCAGATTAATCCAGCTCCCCCCGCTGGCTGCAACGTCACACGCGCAGCTTATCTCGTCCGGCATGCTGCCATCTACGCCAACGACTTCGACTACGAGACCTACATCGAGCCGTTCGTCGAGAAGCTGCGTAACACAACACAAAGCTGGACAAACACCGACTCGCTCGCCTTCCTCGCCAATTGGACCGCACCCATCACCGAGGACCACCTCGAAAAGCTGACTCGCGTCGGACTCCAAGAGGCAACAACTCTGGGCGTTAAGTTCCGCCAGCGATACCCTGACTTGCACACCGACAAAGTTTGGGCCGCAACTGCCGAGCGGACGACCAAATCTGCCCAGGGCTTCATAACCGGCTACACCAACAACAAAACGCACGTTGATCTTGTCAGCGTCGCACAGAGTGACACGACCGGCGCGGACTCCTTGACACCTTACAAATCCTGCCCAGCATACAGCTCCAGCTATGGCAGCACCTATGAAGATGTACGCCCATCGTCGCATCACCCTTATCCCACCCGGCAAGCTTAACTAACAGTATCCTAGGAATTTATTGAAACCTACACAGGCCCCATAATCAAGCGACTCGACGCCATCGCCCCAAAATTCAACTTCACTTCCTCCGATGTAACCGCCATGTTTGAGCTTTGCGGCTACGAGACCGTAATCCGAGGCTCCTCGCCATTCTGCTCCTCCTCGCTCTTCACTAACAACGAATGGCTCTCCTTCGAGTACGCCAACGACATCATGTACTTCCACAACACGGGCTACGGCCGCCCTGTGTCGCCGGTGATTGGCTTTCCCTGGGTCAACGCCAGCTACAACCTCCTCTCCGCAGAGACCAGCGAGCAAGACATCTACGTCTCCTTCACACACCGCGAGGTACCTCCAACCATTGTCACAGCGCTGGGTTTGTTCAACAACAGTGCTTATTCGGGGGCGGATGATGTGAATGCTACTATGCCGACGAATGAGGTAAATTACGATCGTGCCTGGAAGAGCAGTAACATTTTGCCATTCTTGGGAAATATTGGGATTGAGCGGATGGAGTGCAGTGGTACTCAGAATGGATTTGACGAGGGTGTGTACTTCCGGGTGTTGGTCAATGAGGCTGTTAAGCCGCTGATCGGGTGTCGGGATGGGCCTGGGGAGAGCTGTAGCGCGGAAACGTTTGCGGAATTTATTAGCGGGAAAGAGAAGAGGTTTGGGGATTTTGGCAGGATGTGTGGCAATTCTTCTGCTTTGGAGACTTTGGACATATATAATTAGTAGTGGTGGTAGTGGTATGCTGGTACTTACATCGGAAGAGTTTATGAAGCACGTTCATAAGCGGAAATGCGGTGATTCATTGTAATAATTCCTACATGCGTCTCTAGAAACCATTCCAACACAGATGGATCTGACAAGAGCCCGAACACTCGATCCATCCCAAACTGCATAATCTTATCGAGGGCGCTACAGTCATGCTAATACCTAAGCAGTTCATAGTCTGAAGCATGACACCTTCTGCCCAGTACTACCACTGCCTCATAGAGCCTACTGAAGCAATGGAAGAGTCAATAGTGCTGAATAAGCCCTTAGCGCAGTAGGACTAGCTCCTAAATTGATCACAGGTCGAAATCAACGAGCCGACTAAGCAGCTAATAGATCATAGTTTTACATCTTACGCGTTATTCGAAACCTGGAGTGGGAAACAGCATGAGAATGACCGATGATGATTCGTGATGCGCTACGTCGCCGAGTTTGTGTTGCAAACAGGCTTTGCTTGGGCAGTTTAGTCCGGTCAAACTTCAGTTTGAACTAGAGTCCGACCCAAGCCACAAACACGTAGGCTTGGATAGAAGCTGAACACGCTTCTTTTTCAATACTATGTATGACCACGCCTTGCTTTCATGGCATATTTAATATTCAATATTATGAATGAGAATAACAAGGCTATCTCCATCTCAAAGGTTTGCTTCATTGTGCTCATAGTTCGGGACTTGAAAGTCTGAATAAAAAGTCTGACTGTCAGAGTATAGAGGGAGCCATATATGGCCTTTCGTATGCCATATAATACAATAAACAAACTATAGTGCAGAATATGGAGAATCGGTAATAAGACTGGATAAATGGCGTAAAGCTTTCCAAGCACTAGAGCAAGAACCGGAATCCCTCTGCCACTGCCCGGCCAGGCAAGCCGTGTTCTTCATTCTCACAAGCCCGCGCGAGATCAACACCTTCTAATTCATCAAGTTGCTTATTCAATCTACCCAAATAAATGCGGAGGATGGTGGCGATTACTATTGTCATTGCGAGCAAAGCGATATTGACACTGAACGCGGCGATATAACGAGGGGAGGCGGAGTCTATTTATCCCAACACGGATTAGTAGGTTGTATGTGGCTAGAGATGCTGAAGCTTTGGACATACCGGGATAAAGGTATGGCATATAGATTTGGCACACGTTACTGAGACAATTGATGAAGGCCAAGGCAGCGGCTCGTTTTGTGGCTGGGCGCGGGAGGACTGCGATCGTCAGTAAATGTAACTAGTCTCTTATCCTGCACCATAGATGCTTACTGTTTGAAATATATCCCAAAGACACTACGTAGCCTGCGTAAATGCCACCGAGCATTATACACATTGCCCTAGACCATCTTGTGTTAGTCATCTCGATCGGGAGGACCTATTCATTAAGACATACACATATCGGGCGGCGAAATTGTTGCCTGCCATAGCTAATATGAATGCCACAATAGCAACGACAGGTGGGAGTGCTATATGAAGGTATCGCTCGCCTGTTCGATCCGCATGCCAGGCATGCACCAACACAACAAGGGTAGCGATAAGATATGGAGGTGTAGTCAGAAGCAAGGTATCAATGTTGTTTCGGCCAAGTCCGGCCATCACACTAGATAATAACAGTAAGTACCTGTACACTGACGGAGAAACAGGATATAGCTCTTACCTGGGAAAGAAGGTTGTTACGCATCCGGCAGACGTGCAGCCGTAGATGACGCCTAGCATTAGCCAAGTCTTTATGTCCCTGTTGGCGATGATGAGCTTGGTGACCAAAGCAAATGGAAGATTAAAGTACTTACGTGACGGCGAGCTTTGCACCCTTGGTCATGCTTTGATGTTCATTATCCACCCAGTCATCTTCGCCAATGTCCTTTTCTAGTCTCCATGCCGCAAGGACTTTCTCGTCATCTGTTAGCCACGAAGTGGTCCGGGGTAGATCGGGAACAATGAAAAATGCGATCAAAGCCGCGAAGATCTAAGATGGTCAGTATCAATTGGTTTACAAAACTCAGAGAAATGGTGTTTACAGTTAGCGCTCCCTCAATAATGAAAAGCCACCTCCATGCAGCGATGCCTCGTGCGCCGTTCAAGCCGCTCGTGATACCGGCGGCTATCAGACCGGAGAATGCACCCGAGATCAATGAACCTGCGTATAGCAACGCAGTCCGTTTCCCCAACTCTTTCCTGGTATACCAGGCTGATAGAAGATATAGACATCCGGGCTAAAACGTTAGCAGATATCTAGAAAGCAAGTAGAGGGATTCTCACAAAGTATGCAGCCTCGACGAATCCGAGTAGAAATCGAACAACAATCAAGCCAGCAAAATTATGGGTGGCCGCAGTGCAACACGAAATAACACCCCACGCTACCATACAACCAGGTAGATATATTGAAGGCTTTCCAAGCTTGTTGAGGATCAGGTTCGAAGGAACTGCGCCAATTAGTTGGCCTGGCCACAAAGGGAACAGAACAGTAGTACTGACCCTGCATAAGAAGATACCCGACGAACAGGATACTAACACACACCTGTGGCGTGTTAATTCCTCGCATGCCTTGTAAATAATTATTCTTTCTAGCTTGTTGACGTTCATACCTGGTATTGGTCACCTCTAAGGTTTAGGTCCGCTTGCAAACCAGCCAGTTTTGCTGCTGCAATGTTGTTGCGATCCAGATAGTTCAAGATGTACATAATCAACATCATGATGAGCAGCCTGATATCAATCTTCCTAACTAGCTTTGCCTCCCGTCGCTGTATCTCTTCTGGAGTCAGATCTTGCAACGATGTTGGCACAGTAACAGTGCCCGAGCCCTTTAATGTGTCCCCCATTTCGGGGAATTCGATGTGTTCGGCCCCTGTATTCTTGACATTATCCATAGAAGGCAATTGGTAGATGAAACGGGAAGTAGTGAATTGAGATGTGCAGCGGCGAGGATGTTTGCCAGACGAGAGCAATGGAAGCGAAGAGAGCGGTTGTGGGTATTCCAGCTTGTCCTTAAATGCTGGAGGATTCTGGAGCTTGGACTATTTCTGCACCAAGCTACCCCGTGGGGTGGTGAATAGCCAACCGGGTTCGAGGACGGGGTTCTCTTCGGATATCTCAGGCGGGGTTGACGCACTTGGCAGCGGGAGCAAACAACCTGCCATATCCAGTGCATATCCGATTATTTTCCGGATGGAAGGGTCTGAGGGCCAGGGGAAAATGGGTTGCTTCTGCAACAAACCCAAGCCAGGGTAATGTACGCTAATATTTCCATTATACGTTCGGTGTCAGAACTGAGATAAATGGCAAACAACAAGAATGCACGATAGAGAAAAGAAGCATAATTCAATGGTATTGTACTGTCTAGCACATGTCACAACTTTTATTACTCTTCTATCTTGATCCTAGCACCGTTATCCCCTTTGCCAAATTTTAAGAGCGTTGTGTGTATACTGGAAGGGAGCAAGAGGCTCCTCACCCCCTTTCTAAACGGGAAACTAATCACTTTACATGAAAGGGTATACAGAAGAACATCACGCCTTTTGGTTTGCGTCCAAAAATTCCAGCAGTCTTTGCGCAACAGCAGATGGTTGCTCTTCGGGGAGGAAGTGGCCACAGTCGTGAATAGCGCCTCCGGAAACATTGGCCGCGAACTTCTGAACCAAATCAATCATACCCGCACCAACCGAGCTCTCTCCACCCAGAGCTAAGACAGGAATATCAAGTGGTGTCTTTGCGAACTCCAGATTCTGCTTCGAGCTCGTCTCAAAAGACCGATAGTACTCGAATCCTCGACTCATGGCTCCTGGTCTCGAATAGGCTTGAATATAGCGTTCAAAATGATCTTTGTGCATACCATCGGGATGAACTGTCTTCAAATTGAAGAACCAGGTCAAGAGCTCCCGCTCACGACCGCTCGTCAGGATTTCAGGTAGCTCGGGAAGAGCGTTGAAGGAGAATTGCCAAAGACGTAAGTTGATCTGCTGAGACAATGGGAACTGAAACTGAGGCAAGAAACCCGGCACTGATGCATCTAGAATGCTGAGCGATTTGATTCTCGATTGGAATTGAGCGGCCCAGGGATACGCGATCCATCCGCCCACATCATGGCCGATTAGATGATACGGTTGTTCTTCTAAAGCGTCGTGAATGGCTTCGGCCATGATCTTGCTCACGTTCGCGGTATCATAGCCATTGGCGGGAGGAAGAGAATCACCCAAGCCTGGGGGGTCGAGTGCAAAGAACCGGTAGTTTTTGGAAAGTGGCTCAAACATGTCACTCCACGCTTCTGCTGTCTGTGGCCAGCCGGGTATGAGCACCACAGGAGGACCTTGGCCGCCGACGATGGCTCGGACCCCGTGCAGGAGACGGGTGACTTGCCACTTTGCCGTCATTATGTAGATGTTTGTCGGGTTAAGTGACGGGATAAAGATTTGTATGACGTGTATTTGTCGGCCAGGTTAAATCCACCGGCATTCAAATAATATTTTACTGGACACTGAACCGTCCTGATTATATTCTGGTCATGAGTCACGGAGACTTCGATGAGTCAAGGCAAGGGGATGATGCTAAAATCTCATATCTACCGCTACTAACTGTATTCAGGTTAGGGTATAGCGCAAGTCCAATAATTGATTATAGAGGACAGATATCCGTTACATAACGATCCGTTTCAAACAAAGTCAGTAACTACCCAATGCAACTTGGAAGTAAGGATTATGAGATAGACAGTTTATTAAGATATCATATACAATGTTTCTTCTTTCACTGGCGTTGCCAGTCTTCGGCGGAGTGGGTCCCACAACATGCCTGTAACTTACCCCGCCGGCACATAAAGCTTAGCTGGTTAGCCTATTGCGATGTTCGGCAAGATGGGTCGAGGTAGGTCAAAAGCTATCCTCGCGAGGAAACTCAGTGTCTTGATTCTTTCTCCGACCCGCTCATTTCTGGCATCGGTAAAACCCCCGCAGAGCCGGAGTCACTCCACCACCAATTGCACTATT